ACTGCTGCATGGCTCTTCGTACGCTCTTTTGCTGTGTTGTATCTTATCATCAGAAAAACCACTTCTGTAATGATAAGCCAGCAGAGACAGAAACGTACAAAGGAAGTACAGACAGTGCACATCATGTCAGGGGTGCGAACAGGCATGATAGATAACAATATATACCATCCCAAGCACACTCAGAGCTGCGTGTGCCAAAGGGCTTCCTTTTCTTGCTGGTCTGTAAACCATTGTCATTGATACTTTGTACTGTTGAGCTTTTGTTTTTATGTCTTTATTTCCTCTTCATCTTGGTTACTGTTTCGTCTGTATGCTGTCTTACTAAGGATTCACTCTGAGCAATGCATCACTTCATCTAACAAATTTCAAACAATGGAGCTATTTTATCCATTTTTTTTAAGATCTTCTCCCAGCACTGGAGTATGGGTAGTGCATGCATGTGTATAGATATAAAGTAATTTTGAGACATTATTTTGATAACATTATAAATGTCTTCAGGTTAGAGGAGTATATTCAGGTTGTTTGGATAATGCCTATGAGTTTTCAGGGTCTGCAAAAGGAAAAGTGGTAGATTACTGCGACACAGAGCTGCTTGGAAAGTATCCAGTGAAAACTTGGACCTTTTCCAGGAAAACAGGCTTTGAATGCGCTGACTATAACGAGAGAGCATTTGAAGCTAATTTGTTAGTGCATTTATTATCGCACTTTACTTTAAATTTGATCTCTTAAGATGTGTTGGGAAAAGAATTAAGCTAAGCATCAATATTTAGAATTGCAGTTGTAAAAATCAGTGATACTCAGATAAGAAGCTTTTACAAAGCCTTTTTGCCCATTTCTTCAGACATGGTGGAGTTATTTTACTCCTCAATGTAGGCTGTTTAGGAGAATATGCAGAAAATTAAAAGACCGTAACTGATCAGTAGCAACCAGCTGTTATCTTGACTTGACATGTGTCAATATGTCTTGAAAGTTTTACTTTAGTCTTTACTACTGAACTGATTTAAATAATCATCGTCCTAAACTTACTGCCAAAAACAATGCAGTCTTCTTCTTTGACTTCTTTCTGATTTCTGGGTTCACTCTTGCTCTTACATTTTTGTGTGTTGGATGTTTCTTAAAAACACTGCAGTCGATTTTGCAATTCTGTAGGGCATGTTTCTTGATAGCTAACTGATGCTGGTTTTATTTTTAAATAGTTCTGCAAAGTGTACAACATAATAAAGCCTGCTGTACCGCCTTTGCAAGTTTTCACCTATTATGAATTGATGCTGAAAATGTATGCTTGTCCTTATAAATACTGTAGTCAACTCTGATGGGATTGTCTAAAGTTAACCACATGCTAAGAGTTCATAAATAACATGACTAAGGATGACAAATTAAAGAGGAGATGGAGGAGTGGGAAGTGAAAGCATTACAGCAACATAAAAAAAAAAAATATTACGTGGTTGCTCAGCTGGCTCATTTTCAGGCTTTGCTTGCAAGTTTTTAAATTGTGTCAGATTTTATGATCTAAATTCATGATATAGGCAGAAACAAACGTAAACTTTCTTCCACAGTAGAATATTTCTGTGTGGAGAGTATCTGTCAGTTGTCTTACTCCTCCGTATCTTTGGCATTTTGATGACTAGAGGAGCCCACTTTTATTTAATCACTTTGCAGTACTAAGGTGATGCCCAGTTGGTTAAGGAATTGTCTGTGGCATTGTAACTTCTGCCGTAACCAAGTGGCTGGTGACACCCATGGGCAGTGGAAAAGCAAAACCAAGCTGCGAATGCTGTGAGCATTTGAATACAGTAGTAGGTATCAGAGGTCTGGAAATGTCAGAGATGATATATCACTTTGTCTTTACCTTCCTGTATATGCCTGTTAGCAAATAGTGCTTAATTATGCGATCATGTACTTTTTTTTTTTCCTGTTTGTTCTATCATATTTTGAGGGTAGAAGTCTGCCCAGTATTTGACTTGAATTTTGTCCTTTCTGGTTTTGGACCAGTGCCTCCCTTTTGCCATATACCATTGCTCATTGTGTTGGAGGAACTCATAGTCCTTTCCTGTACCACTTCCACCATCCTCCCATTCTTGAATTTTTAGTCCCACACCAGTCTAACAACATGCACAATGCTGCCCATGTCGGTGTGGCATTCAGGGCTATGTAGTGGAATTTGGAGTGTTAGTTTAGATTTGTTTAACGGTCTGTTTTTCATACTGAAGTATTTTCTTTGTGCCATTACAATGTGACCAAATTTCTGCTGTACCAGTGAACGAACCTTTTGTGACTGTGGGGGTCATGTTCCATGTTCTTTTCAGATTCCATGTTCCCACCATTTTCCATGAAAGAGCTTGGTCTTTTTAGAAAAGCTTTCCATGGCAGGAAGGTTATGTTTTGGTTTGGTTTTGGTTTGTTTGTTTGTTTTTCTCCTACTCTCTCCAGTTATTTTCAGAGCTCTCTACAATTCAGCTTGCAGTGAAAGCACACTGGTTCTTGGCCAGGAGGGACTAGGCCAGCCATGCTGTTCAGAGCGTTCTCAAGCCTCTACACACTGAGGATTCATTACCCATAGTACTCTTAATGCCTGTATTATGCCTGGGAGGTATTAATAATGTTGAGTACATCCAAAGTGCTCTCTGTGCTATGCAGAGATGTTCCTAACAAACATCAGTAAAAAAGAGGATTGCATTTGTAGGGCAGTTCTCTTCAAGCTCTTTGGAAACCATCCTGCATTGACAGAGGAGGTCATATAATGCAAATTGAGTAGGTCAGTAGGGAGATACGTGTGAATTGTACAGTGAGTGAACTCGGTGACGGTGTGAACTGTCAGTGAGTATACTTGGTATACTTTGGTCAACAGTGTAATTAGTTAACAGGGGGAAACCTCTGTCACTGTTGATATGCCCGGGCTCGTCTCAAAGCCTTTGCTTTCACAAGCAAATTCAGGCAGACATCTTCTTGCAGTGGTTTATAGCACATTCTATAATAGAAATGGGAAATTCCTGTTTTAAAATGAGACTCCAGAACACAGATTATTTTGTCCATTCCCTTCGTTCTCTTGCTGTTCTCCTTCTCCTTCCCCAAGTCAGGCATGCCAGATTGTTCCCTTGATGCAAGGCAGCGGTATTCTAACCCTGAAGCTAAACAATACGCTGTTGGCTCTTGCTTCATTTTGTTGTAGTTAATTAAAAATTCTGAGAAATGAAGCATCTTCCGCAAAAGCATCAAGCAATCAAAATGTGCTTGATACTTTGTACAAGAAGCTGGAATGGCACAGGATCACAAGCAGAGAAATGATTAAGGTGGAAAGGATTCCACTTGGAAAAATATTTCAGTTTTCTATTTTTTTGTTGGCTGTTTTCCATTTGCCTCCCCTCCCGCCTTTCTTTTTGGGTTTTTTCCCCCTTACCTTCCATTTGGTTCTTTCCCTGCCTTTCCCTTGTACTGGTCTGGGTCAGATGACTTGTTCATGCCACCACCAGTCTGATTCTGCTGCCTGGATTGTATTTCCAAGAGTAAAAGAATGATCTGCGTTTTCACAGGGGGTTGTTAAGGGAGGTGGGTGTGCATTGTGCTGCGTGAATTACCTAGTGTGCTCAGTGTGACTCTCAGTCTTACTTTCAGCTCAACCTTAGTAAAGGTTCATGCTAGGAAGGGGAGGGGAAAAGCAAGTGAACAGCGTATTGTCTCTTGATTGAGTAAAGAGCTGGGTTGCAAGGTGGAAAGTGAATTTAGGTTCAAATGAAAACCAAACAAAAGGAGGACTTGAATCTTGTCAGTTAGGAACTCTAAATGGATTTCTTTTATGCAAAGCAAGTTAAGTTTTTATTTCTTCTTCTTCCAAAGTCATGCAGATGCAGATGTGCGGGGAGGAGAGAACAACCCTAGAGGACTTCTGATTCAGTTTACCCTGAGTCTTGGGCAGTGACTGCTTGAAAACAAAAAGGAAATTTCAGAGCTAATTTAGTTACTGTATGAACAGAGATTAGTTGGACAGTTAGTGAGTAAGCCTTAGACCTGAGCAGATCTCTCCTGGGATGTATTTAACATAACTTCTTTCACCCGTTTGTTTTTGTTTTCCCTGCCTTCCCTATGAGTAGCAACAAACAATCTATCTACCCCACAACAGTTAGTATAGCACAGAGCTTGATGCAGCCCTGGTTGAGGTCAAGCACTCCAATTTGAGCCTCTCAAGGGCTTTCTGTATGTGTTGCCAGTGTACTGGTAAAAATGACTTTAAACTCTTGTCAGCGCAGTTACTGGTGCATGCATCACAGTCCCACTCAAATAAACCTGTCACAACACAGAGTCAGCAGCTAGAGAAGAGTACGAGGGCAGGCCTCTAGCTTTTCATTCGAGCATCACTAAACGTGCACAGAGTGCCCAATTATTTCAGCATTATTGAGCAAGCCTACAGGAAGACCCAAGCCTTGCTACATTAGATTTTCTTTAGTAATTTGCTGAAGTACCGCTGAGGACACTTAAAGGGCTTAAAACGGTGGCTGCAACCAGTTTCCTTTTCTGGATTGTTAATTCAGGTTTTCTCTTTCAAATTAACTCTCACTGCATGCTGTGCAGTAGCGCTGGGAGAACTGTTTAACACTAATTTTCTCAATTTTCAGCTTTTTTTTTTCCTTCATTATATAACTGCTTTTATATAGTTACATATGTTTTGATTAGACGTGTACGTGGTGTGCTTCAGATAGGAAGAGTAAAATGTAATACCTCTGTCAGAGAATAAAAATATCACCAAAACTGTAAAATGCTTTTCCTTTATTCCTTTTTTTTTTTCCTGTTATTGTTGTTCCTTTAATTCATACTGAAGTTTACCAATTGTGTTGTGTACAAGCATATGGGCAATTTTAAAATGTCAGGATGTTGGTGGGAGTTGATACCTGGATCAGTCAGCTGCATCTGTTGATCTGATCCAAGAGTGCTTGATGTACTCCTGTACAACTGGACAGCCCCCAGCTCTCCGAACAAATTCAATATCTGTGTTTCCTTTTTCACAGCAGCAACAACTCCAGGCCCAGCATTTGTCACATGGACATGGTCTTCCTGTGCCGCTCACTCCGCACCCCTCAGGCTTGCAGCCTCCAGCCATCCCACCCATTGGCAGCAGTGCTGGTCTTCTGGCATTGTCCAGTGCACTGGGGGGGCAGTCCCACCTCCCAATTAAAGATGAGAAGAAGCACCATGATAACGATCACCAAAGAGGTAAGCATTGCCACTTGAGTGTGTGCTTTCATCCGTTCCTCTTTTCTTGTTTTCTTTTTCTTAAACTTCCCTCTGACAAAAAAAATGAAGAAAACAAAAAACCAGGGGTGGGGGGTAAAAAAACCCCTAGTTTTCACAAGAATTCACAAGCTAATTACATTAGTGTTTATTACATAGCAGCTACCAGAAATTATGTTCAAATGTTGGAAATCCAGTTTTATAAATGTGGCTGTACAGTATTAATAATTCACTGTACAGAAAAGTTAACATCTGTGTGATTTATTATTTAAGAGACATCAGGATTCTTCCTTCCAAGTATGATGAATGTGTAATTTTATGTAAACTAACTAGTACTTTTCTCTTTCTCTTTGCCTCCGCCTCCTTCCCTCCTTGTGCACGGGGGCTGCTCTGCGTGCAGACAGAGACTCCATCAAGGTAGGACTCCATTTCGTAGGTAAAGGAGGCATCTCAGAAGAACTGCACACTGCAGTTTTCTGAAGCATGGCCCAGGGTGGTGGAAAAAGTCACAAAGTGAAACCGGGTTGTGACACTCGTGTTTATTAGCAGAGCCCTGCATAGACTGTCACGCTTAGAAAGTGTCAGGTAGTGGAGCAGCTGGGATTCCAGGCAGTTTGCTGGAACAGCACGCGGGGGCTGTTCCTGGAGCTAAGGAAAGGGCTGCCTGGGGTCTCTGCCCAAGCTTCTGAGATACAAAGAATTAGCCAGTAGTTTTAAGTCATTTGGAGGCTGTAAACTGTAATTCTGATACATCCCTACGATGCAGTTGTGGAAGGAGAGTTCTGTGCTGCCTGCCTGCTGTCCTTGCCAGAGCAGTTGAGAGGAGAGGGCTGTTGTTCTGTATACTGACAAAGGTGGTACTTGCACTGAGAATTCTGCCTTCCTTTTCCAGGAATTAATTTTCAGGTTCTGAATTACTCTGCAGCATATGTGTGTACTCCATCCTGTACATGGTAGTATTATAAGTAGCTTCAATACACACCTTGCTGCTCATGTAATTTTGAGCATTCAGTGATGCATGCGACTACAATTCAGCATGTGTGCCTGGATGCTTGTACATACTGGATTGTCACCAGAGCCTCTCAGAGGCTCCTACGGTTTTAATGCTGCAAGTGGGGAGGTGCATCTTGACCCTGCCCTCTCCTGGATTTAGTCTGCTCTCCTCACTGCCGCTGGCAGTTTACTAGCTCACAGAAGACACAGTTGTTGCCTGCTATGCAGTTTACCTGCCCAGCTCTGGATAGCTGGATGTAGTTACAGAGTAGAGCATGAGTGGCTTGCGCAGTTTTCAGGACCCTTTTTAGGTGATGGTCAGTGTGAAAGTTTCCCATACAAAGGGCAAGACCAGTGACTGACTTACTCTGAGCACTTGTAATAAATTTGTCAAGTTTTTCGTGGTGTTTTTTTTCTGAAAGAGGTAGAAGAGGTGTTCACAGCATGAGTCGTGGGTGTATTAGACAAGATTACCTAGAGCTTGTTAGTCCTATGTTACCTGGTGTGCCCTCTACAGCTCTGGGAGGAGCATGGTGCTGGACACGGGCTTTGCCCCAACCAGGGACCTGTCTGGCTGGCACTGCCACACAAGGGGCCATGCTTTTGCTTCTCCATCAGCTCCAGGTGGGAATGTGCCCCACAGCTTTCCCCAGCATGCCTATTCTGCCACTGGCAACTCTGCCATGTCCCAGCCGAGCACAACTGAGCTGATGGTTGTCAGTTTTGCTATTACCCACAGGGTTCTGCATAACAACCAGGAGCTGACAGGAACTGTCAGTTTTCACTGTGAGCAGCAGAGGCACTGAAGCTGTCTATCTGCTGACATAAGACAACAGCGCATCAGATTTCACTTCAGCTTCCTTGTCATGTGGGCTAGAAACTGGGATTATTGCTTTATGTGGCAAGGCTGGGTGCAGATTAATGATGATTTCCTTAGAACACCCCCTGTTTACTGTGAACAGATAGGTTTAGTCCATTCCCTGCACTCAAACATGCAAGCACAAGTAAGGCAGATACCTAAATGTGGGAATACAAACCTACCTGGTTTCTTTAGCATGTTTGCATACCTGTACAGTTAGAACCATGAGCATTTCACTCATGAAAGGTGTATGAAGAGAGCTGCTCTAGTATATGCTGATCGAGTTTGATGATCAAAATTTGCTAGTCATGTTTCCGTAATGCCTGTGGGGTGTTGGGGTGTTTATGCTGGCATGGGTGTTACATGCAGTGTTTATACCAAAAAGGCTGATTTTGTCTGGGAATGATTAAAAGGTGCTGTTATTCATATGGCTTCCAGAGGGAGAGGAGAGCGTCACTGGTTTGTGCCCATTTACTTAAAAATGATAAGTAGGTATTTGTCTTGCACTGTGTTCAGAATGTGAGTTGGCTTGTATGTCAGCATTATGGGGCTTGCTGCCAGCTTTGCAAGGTGAAATAGTTTGCTAATTTCTTTAAATGTTTTCAGTGATGCCCAGAGTAGCAGTTAGTCGCTTGTTCGATCGATCTGTCCTCCCTTAAGTGGTTCCTGGTTAAGAGAGGCTTTTTATGATTGTCTGGTCTGTGACTTGAAATGGTTTTTGTCAGCCAGAACGTGCCAGTTGCCAGCAGCTGGAGTCTGTGTGCTTGTATGAAATAATTCATTCATGCAGGATAATGCTCCTTAACATTTTAACAGGTAATGAACATGACATAAATTTTCTTCTTGCTTTTAATTTTTCCCTTTCCTCTTCCAATGTGCAAACAGGCAGCTTTGGTACTCTAAATAGTAAGTAATTTTTGGCCATCTGTCAAAAGGAAATTTCAATACAAATTTAAATTAATGGTGCCTGAAATTTTTTATAGCTCCTCTAAAAGCCTCTAATGTGCAGAAAATTCTGAGTCTGCTGGTAGTAATTAGTGTAGCATGTAATGAGGATATGGGCAATGTTATACAGCCCCAGTGTAACGTTTTGATATGGTAGCAAAATTTTGATTTATAGAAGGTTGTGCCTGGACTTAATTGTGAGAGACACTTTAAAGTGTTTTCTTGCTGATACAGATTATTAAGCAGGGCAGATTTTAAAATAGCTCATAAAGTGTAAATTTACTCTTTAGTGTACTATCAAGATAACAAAGATACCCTACGCATTTCCACAAAGAAAGGAGTTTGGTTGAAATGTCCCACTTCTTGCCACTGCTTCTGGTGCTTTGGATTTGCTGGGCAATTGTCTATGTGAAACTTACGTCTTTTTCACTGTGCTGGTTCTGATCCTCCTCCTGGTTCTCGCCAGGGAAAATGAGAATTTGCCTCACCCTTCTAAACGTGTTGTTTTCTGCTTGGTAAGCCAGACTAGGCTCACATCCATCTGAACACCTCCCTGGAGTAGTGAGTGCTTCACGGCTGAAGCCGAGTAGTCACCTTACAGATAATGCAAGTTTGTCCAGGAGCTATTCCTAAATAATAGATCAGCATCAGCACAGCAAGCTCCATGAAGAGGGGCTTTGGGAACTCTTTGATTTGGTCTTGGATTCAATCCTCCAAATCCTTTGCAAGGTTTGAAGTGTGGGAAAACTCTGCAGACGCGGTAAACTGGGTCATGGGAGCACTCTGTGCAGTGGCAATGCTGCAGAGCGGACAAAGGGAAAGAAAGGGTGGCAAGCTCAGGACTGTGCTCAGAGTGCAGCCCTGGCTTAAGGGCTGTAAGGGAATATAATGTGTTTAGACAGAGAAACAAACAGCTCTGCAGTTAACCAAGCAGCTTTTCACAGAGGGGACTTGGGGTGTCCCCTTTTCAAAGTGATAAAATGTCTCTGTCTAGAACAAAAAAAAAAAAAGGTATTATTCTGCAGTGGATCTTGCTCATTAATTGCACCCCGCAAGGATTTTTCCACCTCCTGCAAGAACTGCTGGTGCAGGAGGGATGTCGTTCTTCCCAGCCCTGGCACCCTCTTTCAGACAGATGTGGCAGAAGTTTCTCTGGTCCCTAACAAAGTCCCTTCTGTAAAGCATACCTTGTGAAGAAGCTGAAGAAGCATTTTGTGTGCAAAAGCACCACCTGGCAGAAAGTAGCCTTAGTGCTTGCGATGTCTTCCCATGGCTCTCACTGCAGCAGCTGCAGTGAAGGAGCCTCCAGATGTCTGCCCAGGGGTAGCCAGGATGATCCTGAATGGGTTATTGATAAATTCTGTGACTTGCTGCCCCATGTGCAGGATTCAGCTCATGTAACCTTTTTACCTCATCTGTTGTTTATACAGATCTGTTCTTTATACTGGCAGAGTGTTGCCTTTGTGTTTTTAATCTGGATTGTAAACGATTTGTGGGAGAGACCGTTCTCATAGTAAGACTTGCCTACATGGGGAGGGCTGTTTATTTTGATGCTGGAGTTACTGTTTCAGCAGCAACAAGTGCCAGTAGTTAAAGGATGGGGCCTTGTGGCAGGAATAAAATAACTTCTTTGAGATTCTTCGGGGGGGGGGGGTGGAATGTCTAAAGGTTCTGAAATCAGACATCAAATGCAGTTTTGTGGTGGTGAATTTAGGTCCAACATGCTGGTGAATTGCAAGAAATGTCAGGGAAAATTCAGGTGGGTTTAGCAATAAGATTACTTTTGCCTTAATCTGTGTGAAGGCTAATAATTACACATCGCAGATACAGGGAAAGCGAACGGGTGTGATTCAATATTCTATTTACATTTGTGGTGGCAGTTGCTCCAGTGCTTCCCAATTTAGCTGCTCGAGCTGCTAGCCACTATTGAGTGTTCAGACCTCTGTTCATTTGGTAAGTAAGAGTAAGCAGCTTACTCCAGCAGCTGTAATTTGACACTTAAATTAAAAGTAGGAGTGTAATGCTTCTGAAAATAACAAGGTAGTTTGAAATCAAAATGCCCAACATCTAAAACTGTGGGATATTACCAAATGTAGTTACATTGCTCAGACTTTATTCTTGTGCTGGTAGAGGAAGAGCACATAAACTCAAATGGTCTACTGCTGCAGACTTTGATTGTCAGGTTTCTTTCAAATGAAACTTCCTTCAGTGTCATGAGTGTCCCACCAAATGTGTGCGTTCAGTGTGTATTAAACAAGCAAAAGAAATGTAGTTACCTGTTACACGCCTTAAGAAATTTACAAGATTTCATTTTGTTACTTTGCCACTGAAATAGCATTCAGCTGAAAAGCACTTCATAGACTTGTTAAAATTCAGACGTTTCACATTCGTGTCGTGGATTCTGCTTGTGCCTTTCTCTGTTTGGAAATGAGGCATTAGGTGCTTTTTGCTTTCCATAATGATGAAGTGGTAGTTTTAAACTTAGCGTATTTGAACTAAGCTTTGCTCCACAAGAGCTGTGATTTTGATCTTCATGGGTGTTTTGGGAGTAGTGTTATCAAAATACAAGTAACTTCTGTTGGCTTGTGATACAGTAATTTTTTCAGTATTAATTGATATC